GAGAGCTAGTAGAATGGTATTTCCAGTAACCGTGATGGAAAGACTGATGTGGTCAATAAATTTTACTTCTATGACAGCTGTTTTTTAAGGTATGAGACCCTCTCTCTATCTGTCCTCCTTCATTGGTATTTATTTTTAAATGGCCTTCTCCTCAAACACTATCAGTTCAAGGAATCTTTACTCAATAGTGAGGCACTGTGCCCCCGATTCTGAGTATGCAAGAGTCAAAAAGGCAGAGCCAGTCTCATGGCCTGTGCAGTGTTAGGGATGGGATGGGATGGGATGGGATGGGATGGGATGACAGTCCCTGTGGTTGTACCTTAAAGTGTGTGCCCAAGATAGCACTGCCACACTCGAATGCCATCCTGTTTGATAGCTGCCAGAAAAATTTCAAAATTGTGCGCTGGCCTCCATCCATATTTAACCACCCTCTCCTTCCTCCCCATGCCCTAAAGCAGCTCATATGGTAGAAAAGGGGATTAAGCATTGTAAGATTGGCACCTGACTTCACAAGGGGGAGAAGGACAGTCAGCCACCAGCCCAAGGCTGATTCCTCTGAGGCAGAGGTGAGACATGCCTTTACCCACCAAGCTTCTTTACCCACCAAGCTTCTTTACCCTATTCTGACACCAACCATCCTTCCCACACACTAGGTTTGATCATCCATTGCAGTGGCTACACAGAATTCACAGATAATAGAGTACTCATAACTATGGGGCTTATTAGGGAAGATCTAACAAGTTTCGAGGCAGGATCATAAATGGCTAGGATACAGCCAGCTGTGCCTCTCAGCCACTCAACCCTTTGGCCTCAGCCCTGCTCAGGTAAATATTAACCAAGTTCTTTTAGTGCTGATAAATGCCCAAAGGGCCAGGCTGTAATCTAGTCTCTTGTCAGAAGGCACTCAGCTCAGCCTTGGGCCAGGAAACCCACCTCTCCTTCATGCAAGATCTCAGGATCCAGTGGATGCGCTCTGTTCTTGGTTCTTCTTCCTTTGTGGTTATGAATTCCCCGATCCCTACCTTTGAGCTGGTGGGATGACAAGGCTCACCTATCCCCACATTAGAGCCCCATGCACCTTATCTGTATGTTCCTATCATGTGGTGGCAGTTGCAAAGACTGGCTAGAAAGAGCCATACTAAGCTGTGCCACAGGCATTGAAGTCAAACACTCTTGTTGAGGAACCCAATGTTCTTAGCTTGCCCGAGACTTTTGACTGGCAGCCTTTGATACCTCATTATTTAACCTTTCTTGGTCTTTTTTCCCTGTCCTCGTCACTCTTGTCCTTCATGACTTGATGATATGTGAATCGCTTTCAATCTGCCCTAGATCATTCAAATAATAATGGTATCAAGTATGGGGGAAACTTTTGGGCAACGTACATTTTGTCACCCACACAGGTATATAGCAAGCTTCCTGTTACAGTCAAAGGCATGTCATTACAGTTTGAAGTTTCTTGCTGTCATAAACAAGATTGTCTGTGGCAATAAGGAGAAAGGGGCCAAAGAGGAGTTGTGTCAAGAGGGAAAAGCAGAAAACACCTTCTCTAGAACCAGCAGGTTATTTCCACGGAAGGGTTATTATTAAGATTTCTCAATGTCAACAGATTTCAATGTCAGAAGATTCCAAGCAGAGGAAATAGAGGGAAGAGCTGGGAGGCAAAGGGCATATATAGAGGTCTAGATAAAGACATGTACATATACAAATATATTTTTATATGAGGATGGGGAAATAGATCTATGTGCAT